TGTGGATCTTCTGAAAGAATGAACTAAAAACATAGGGCACAATACTTGAAATAACATCACTATGAAGTAACAGAGGAGTGTGCTGTCTTCTCCCATAGCAAAACTGAAGAGAGAGAAACCTTGAAAACTCTCTTCAGATGCTGTCTCTATAGTTTCTGATTAATTTTCCTCTCAGAGACTCTAACTACAGGAGACTAATGTGAGATCATCAACATCCAATGTGTGAAGAAATTAAGTTTCCCTTTATGGAAAATCCAATAGAGTTCAATAGCAAATAATTTTTCTAAGTGACTTGAACTTAAGTGCCTATGGAATACAACACATCAGTTATATTCCTGCTGTGGAGATCTTCAGGCTAGTTAAAAATTACCATAAAATCCCTTCCTAGTGAAATTCTACAAAGCAGATCATTAACAGGTGAAATCGTTATGGATGCACTACCATTAATAAGATTATGTTAAACAGGAAGATTTGGCCCATGTGTATTTAGAGTAATTTGATAATGAATCACTGCAAATTTCTGTTGGTTTTAACAACTGTTAAATTCTACATCACTTTGCCATATTGATCTTACATGTTCTGTTGTTTTCTCTGTTTTTTTAACAGGGAGCCGCTCCCTTCACCATATGGTCCAGCCGCTATCCACAGTTTTCTCTGCTTATTTCACCATCATGTAACACTCTCCTCTTCTGGGAACTAGATGACACAGTGACATGCGAATGTTGCTCACAGTGCAACACAAATTTCTGCTGATTTTTCTGGCACAGTACAGCGGGAGTTGACCAGGGCAGCCTCCTGCATAAAACATCTGCTCTGCAGCCTTGTTTGCCTTCCAGAATCCTCCATACTTGTAAAGACCAACCTGCACAGAATTGGCACAGAGACACTCTGGGTTCCCAGGAGAGGCAAAACTTTCAGTTTTTCAGTATTTCCAGTGACTATTACAAACTACTTTGCTGAGCTTTGAATACTCTGGGTGCTTCTTGTTGAGCACATCCCATGTCAACCTGAGTATCCACTCTGAAGATGTCTGAAGAAAGTGATTAAGAGAAGCAAATCCATATATGCCATCCAGCAACCTAAAAACGTGGCATTTCTGGTAAGGTCCTTATTTACAGAAAGAATTTTGCAAGGATTCACCAACCATTAAAAGTCACATCCATAGAGGAAACTCATTATTATTAATCTCATCTCATTTTACTTGTTCAGAAAGAGCTGTAAATTGTCTAGCATTCATACCTTTAAACTATGAACCCCACTCTGCACGAGTTAATTGGGCAAAAGACCTATTGCCACTTTACACTGAGAGGCTGAGAACTGGGTCTCTGCTGATTTTTAAAAGTCTTGTTTCCTTTACTTGCACTAAACACAGCTACAAGCTGATAAAAAAACTCCCCACTTTCAACCATATTTTCAGAGAATAGCTGAGTTTGATGAATTTCTCTGAAGTGGTTAAAAGAAAGACCTTATTTTTCTCTGTGTAGGAGTAATTACTTTGCCAGGCATTCAATAATCTTGTCTTGACACAAATCATATTTGCAGTTTGATGAGATTTCAGTATTGCTGTAAGATTGAAGAAGTCAACACTTATTTTATATTAAGATGTGCCTGCACTAAACATTTTGCTTTTATTTGTGGTGAAACATATCTCCACAGGTAAAAGCATCTCCTCTGATACTGCTGCCCAAGTAGCAAAGAGGAAAAAGGAGTACAAGCACTCCTAAGATTACAGCCCTTAAGCCCCTCGTGGACATCAAATCTATCTCATACCTTCCTTGGGGCAAAACCCCCTTGTATCTCCCAGACAGCTGTCAAAGTCCTCAGCTCTGCCATTCGTGTTGTTTCTTGACAATGTAAAACTCTGCTGCATTTTGAGCTTTTGAAATAATGGCAAGAAGCTGAACTGAATCTAACATTAACAACTGGAATCAGGGAATATTGCATATATTGCATATGCATTGAATGTTCTGGTGCAGAAAGGCAACAAGATGCCATTGCACCCCTGCAGTATCCCAGCTCCTGAGAGCTGCATCTAACAAGATGCTGCTCCTACAATCACATGGATCTGGGAAGATAGTACAGTAGGAAATATGTATTATACAATGTGGGGCTTAGCACACAAATTAGCATTGAACTTTGCATGTCCCAACTAAAAAAGGCAGCTGCTGCTAGCAAAGGAGATACAAATGCCCTTCTTCCATACAGGTCAGCTGCCTCACAAACATATTTCACATGTGATTAAGGAAGAGTAGAGGTAACATTTTCACACAAACTGAAGTCAAGTTTTTGGTAAAGACCTACTTTGCAGAGTGGTTGGAAGGAGTTGAAGTTCTCTATAGCCTGTGTGAATTGTTCAGCTCAGGATTTTAAAACGCACAGCTCCATGGAGACCTCACCAAGAATTCCTTACTGGAAAACCCACGGCACTCTACCACTGCAGCTGCCAAAAAGCAGACAGTTAAAAAAAAATATGTCTTTACCCATCAATAAGGGTAATCATTCCCTTCCCCAAGCCCATGTGAGTAGCCCACAATTGTTAACTAGTCTAGGCAAAACAAGTAAGGTTGTGTCTCTGTGTTCAGAAAATCTGACAGCATGAAGGATTGAGATTGACACTAAAGTTCCACAAAAATAGACTAAAAAGCTTGGTGAGAGAGAAAAGAGGAGAATAGTTCATTGGACTTGAGTACTGAGTGAGAAAGGGAACAGGGAGTCAGGTAAAAATGAGGGTGGGTTTTCAAGTCATGAAGACACTTAAGAGTTTGTAGAGCAAACCAAAAGGTAATGAAGGACAGAAGAGCTCGGTGTCATTTTGGCAGAGGGCTAAATGAAAAATGGCTACAGTGCATGATTTAACTGAAGTTAGGCAGACAAAGACATGGAAAGTGAAGATGGGGAAAATGGATGAATAAAAAAACAATTTTGTAAAAAAACAGAATATAAGACTTCTAGTAACTGATGCCTTAGCTAGTACCACTATCTGGAAAGTAGGATTTTTTAGTGTTGATTCTTCCAGAACTTTCATTGTAAAAAAAATCTGGTCTGTATTTTTCAAAAGCCTAAATACAGGAGGGGAAAATATTCTCTGTCAGAGAGCCTTTTTTGATTAGTAAAGAAATGCAATGGTAAAATAAACCATTCAGTATTGCGGAAATACTTGTGACGTAGCTGAAGCACATAGTAAAGACCAAACCTATATCTGCTTCCAAACCCACAACAAAGTTGGTGGCAGTTTGGAACACCTCAAAGTGTATGTAGTGATTGAACATAATATAATGATCAAATGTCAGCCTTAGCTATTGTGAAATGGGTATTCCCCACAAGTCCTGACTATGTTCAGTCTCTGTTCTCATTTCCTGACAGAGGAAAAAGTACCATGATATGATCAAGGGCCTCTGTGGAAATGGGGTTAGGGGTCTTGGCAAATCAAGGTACATTCATCTGGTTTACCCCCCTGACAGACACTTGGGTACCCAGAAATTATTTGTACCAGTTGAGTTTCTCTAATTGCTTTCAGATCTAGAAGAAGTTTGTTTCACTAACATTTATCTGTCTCCAGCAATAACCCTGTTTGGTGCAGAACTCTCTTCTGTTTTAGATTTTCAGGGAAAGAAAGAAAGAAAATATATATTAGGTCTTGGTTCCTTCGGTCGTAAAATTACCCTAAGTATACATTCAGTTTAAACTGTCAGAAAGGAAAGAAGAAACTGTTTCTTGATACAGATGAATGTTTTCCCTTGTAATCTAACAACTAGAAATTGAATGGATGTGTGGTTAATTTTAGACCCAAATCAAATACAGATCCCAAACCAATGCCTTACAGTCCTTTCATTATCTGAAAATAAAAGGCAGAAAAAAATCAGCTGTCATAAATAAGTAATTATTTTAATTTTAATGCCATACTTCGTGACCTGACAGCAATTCTTCTAGCTGAACTCTGTCCTTTCACTTATCTGGTGGGGGGGGGGCGGGGGGGGAAGTATAAATCATATTAAAGCAATTGCACATGTAAATGAATGCCCTAGAAACAAGATACCTTCACGCTGAAACAACTAGAGGCTCTCTTCGCAGCCTTAACTCCGGTGAGATCTAGAGGACGGAAATCACTGGTAAAACTCATGAGGAATCACATGCCGCCGTCGAAGAAACGAACACGCGGATTTTCACCTCACTGACTCTGAGCTGTTTTGCGAGGTTTACACCGCAGCTCGCTCCTGTCCGTCCCAGCCCTGATGCTCTGAGAGGTCAGCGGGGCGCGGGAGGAGGGGGGCCGCGAAGAGCGGGAAGCGCGGAGGGCCGGAACCAGGGGCCGGCGGCTCGGGGGCGGCGGGACGCCCGCAGGCAGGGGCCGAGCGCCCCGGCGGGGTCTGCTGGCGCGGCGGAGCCTCCGCGCCTCCCGNGCGCGGGGACGGGGAGAGAGGGATTACTGTATTAGCGCCGCTTGCTCCTGCTCCCGGCTGGATCGGCTCCGAGACAGGGATTAGTGCAACCAGCGACCACCGAGGCGGGACCGAGACGGTGGGAAGGGAGAAAAGGCGACAAGCGGACGCCCGGCCGCCAGCTGCGGCCCCCGTCCCCGCTTTCCCCCGGGGGATGCGCCCCGGGCTCCGCAGCAGCCCCAGATCCCGCGGAGAAGCGGCGAGTCCTTCGTGGGGCTGCAGCCGGCTGCCCCTGTCCCTGCACCGTGCTTTCGCCGCTGCCGCGGGCGTCTCCCCGCCCCTCGCCGCCTCTCCGCGCCCTGCCGGCGCGAACGACCGTGATGGTTGGAGGCGGCGACAGCTCCGAGAAGACGGGCGAGGGCCGGGGGCGGCGATTCCCCTCCGCAGACACCTGCTCGACGTAAGCCCGGTGACGCTCGGCACCAGCCCCAGGGTGTCGCTGGCAGCAGCGCCGCCCACAGCGAGCCCCACAAGGACGCGCGGCCGCCCCGCTCCGCGCCGCCCGGGCCGCGCTCCAGTCCGGGCTTTGTCTCCGCCTCCGCCGGCGGAGCGTCCCGGGGACAGCGGGAGGGCGGCGGGAGACGGAGCGGCAGCGGCGGGAGACAGGGAGAGGGAGAGAGAGACAGCGGCTCCCACGTCCTCGCCGCGCACAGTCCGATGCCCGGCAGCTCGAGGCGAGCAGCGACTACGCTTTCCTGCCGTGGCACAGCGAGTACCTCCAGCCTCGGAGTTTTCCTGAAGCAGCCGTCACACCGGGAGCACTTTTGGTAGAGAGGGACCAGGAGACCCCGAAATGACTTACCTCCCGAGACTCGACTGAAGGGGACTTATTGGAGTGGAACCGTAGTGGAATTTGGGTCTGGAGAGGAGTTGCTAACGCTTTTTTTCTTTTTTTTTGCCTTTTTTTTTAATTTTTTTTTTTATTCTTCTCTCTGATCACTCCCCTCTTCGTCCATCATTGGAAATGAACAAATTGCGTTTGCAATTCAGAAAGTAGAAATATTAAATATACCATCCCCCGGGAAGCACACATGTAGTAATGACAAAGGATTGCAAAGGAGAGAGTGGCTCCAGTTTCCCAGAGAGATCCCCTAAAATGGATTACTAAATGGGACACTACATCAGCTAGTTGTCCTCTAGCTGCCCAGATACATGCACCGAAAAGGTACAGTACCCCACTGTCCGTACCCCTACCTAATGTTTTGGGATTGCTCGGAAGGGGAGGCTCACGAATGGCCCGGCCGGCTCGGAAGGAGCGAGGGTGGTGTGTGGTTTGAGGTGGGCTGCTTCTGCCTTCTATCTCGACATCGTTTGCAGCGCCTAGGGAGGAGGAGAGCCGCCCGCAAGTGTACACGCTGCGCTTGCTGTTGTCACTTTCCCGGCATCTCGTGGCTTCATCTTTTTTTCCCTTTTTTATTTGCCCATCTTTTCCTCCCCCACCCCCCCCCCCCCCCACCCCCTAACCTCTTTGTCTCCTCCCCCCCCCCCCCCAACTGCCTAACATGTTATCCTCCCTCCCCTAGCCCTTGGCACGGCTTGCATGCGCTGTGCTGGGGCTCCTCGCCTCGCATCCCCGAGCCCTTACTGGCAGGGGTTCCGTGGGGAGCTGGGCGGCCGCGGGACGCCGCCGCCAGGGCCGCCGGGCGCGACCCCCGGGGCCTCCAGGCATCGTGTGGGGCTGGGTGCTGGGGTCTTTGTTACAAGAACTATGTGTGCGCTCCGTGTAGAGGCGTAACCCCGCCGTCTCTGCCGTTCCCGCGGGGTAGCTGGGTCGCGGCCGATGTATTTCTTTATGGGTTTTTTCCGAGGCTGGCGCTGCATTTTGGGGGAAGTGGCCGGGAATCAAGGCAACTTCTTCCGCGGAGCAGCCCTAGGCGCAGCCGCGGGCTTTGTTCGCGGCCGTGGGCTGGGGCCGCGGGCTCACCTCCCCGCCCGTTCCCCACGGACAGTGGCCGCCTTCCCTTCCGTCCTGGCCCCGGTGAAGGTGGGATGCCGGCTGCCCCCCCCTCCACCCGCGAAGCGTGGCTCTGGAGTAGGGATGCTCCCCGCCCCTTTCTGCCGAGCGCCCCAAGCCTCTTTCCCCCCGGGCCGGCGGCACTGCCAAGCCGCTTCTCCTTGGCCGGGGAGCGCAGGCGGACGGGCTGGCCAAGGCCAGACCCCTCCGTGGCCGCCCGGCGGGCGGGAAGCCGTGCAAGGCAGCGCAACTCTTCTCCCTCCGGCCAGCACTCGCCCTGTCGCTCCTTCAGCCCCTCTCCGCCCTCGGGCTCCGGGCCAAATGGGAGAAACGGCGGAAAAGAGAAAGTTTTTTTTAATGGCGAGTAACAGGGCTGTCCCTCCAGGAGGGGCTGCAGGCTGCCGACGCGGCGCCCCGCAAACGCCCCACGCCGCGGCGGGGCGCGGGTCTGGCGGCGGGGCGCGGCGACGCCGGGCGGGGACCGGGAGCGGGGCTCCTTCGTGCCGAGGATGCTGAGGTTGGGAGAAATGCCGAGGAGGGAACAGCATGCTGCTGAGGTGAGGAAAGGATGCTGAGCAAGGAACAGGATGATGCTGAGCAGGAAAGGGATTTCACCCTGCACGCACACACCCTGTCCCCTTATCTGCACGGGCAGGGAAGGCTCCTGTGCCTCCGTCTGCGGAGCGCTGGCAGCACGGCGCCGAGGCACGGGGGGCGGCGGCGGTGGCTCGGGCAGCCCCTGGGGCGGCCGAGGGTCAGCACCGCCCCTCGCTCCGCCGCCAGGGAAGGCGGTGGAAAGTTTGGGTCTCCATCACGCGTGAGGAAAGTACCTGCTTCTTGCGAGGGCTCGGCCGTCCCACCGCCCCTTTCTTCGTGCCTGGCTGTCCAAGGGAGGCGTTCCCGGGGGTGGACCGGACGGCGTGCGGATAGAGGGCTGGCGGGGAAAGCGGGGCTGAGGCTGGGGCTGCAGCCCGCTCAATTGCAGTGGAGATGCCCTTCTGCCTGTCGCCACCGCCGCTGTCCTGCCTGGCTCATCCCAGGGTGAGTCCTAAGGCAGTAACTGCTGGGTTTCCCTTGGGCAAGTGGCTCTGGCCGCTTGTTCAGGAGATAATTTGTTCTCCTGTTCCTCTCCCGAGATAATTGCTTTTGAAGTTTGTAAACATGCTCGTTTATGCCAGCGTCTGTGCAGCACGGATATTTAGCTGCTGCAGAAAATTATTTCACTCATGGAACAGCAGAAAATAAAGGCTTTAGTTAGGTCTGTGATAAACTGTAAAACATACTAATTCCTGGCGCTGTAAGGTGAATGCTTCGTTTTCTAAAGGCACACACACAGCATGCAGGTGTTGTAAATAACTAAGTGCTAAGTGTCCACATCCATTTTCTGTCACAGGGCTGCACGAAGTTGATTATTATTTGACATGGATTCTTCTAACTTGTTTTGTATCATCTAGCAACGATATAATTACTTACTTGACCTCAAAAATCGTAGCTAAAGGTGTGATTTTCCCCACTGTCTTTGCAACAATTGGTGTGCATTCATTTAATTTAAGTGTTATCAGTAAACCATTCTCATCCAAAGTCCAGTGCAGTCAGGCTCTTTTGATTCAAAATTCAATTCTCAAAATTAATTGAGATTTTGTAGCTTTCTCTCATGGTAAGATTTCTGCAGCTGTTATCATGCTCAGGTTTTCCTCTGCCATTTTTTTTCAGATTAGAAACACAAAATGATCTTGCTGTGGTTAGCTTCTCTTTTTTCTTCCTTTTTTTTTTTTTTTTTTGACTTTTTTTTTTTTTTTAATGAGACTGTTCTAGTGTATTGTGAGGAAATTCAGGTCTGCTCCAACAAATCTCTCTCTTCATGGAATTGCTTTGAACATGGTTGAAAGTAAGTACATGATACAGTAGGATCGGGAAGGTTTGTCACTATTAAGTACAATTGCCAAGGTGTTTCACTGTCTGGGGTTTCCTTTTATCTAATAAGAGTCTGTTTTTAATATGGTAGTTTCTCATAAGTTGCAAGACAGAGAGAATTGACTCTCTTTAAAGCCAAATAATTTCATATGCATAAAAAAGCTGGTTTCTGTTCTCCACCACTCTTCACTGGAGAAAACCTCTGGCATTCATGGAAGCTTAGCTCAGGAGCAGCATGCCCAGATGAGATTTCTGCTAAATGCTAAACACAATTTAAAATAGTAAGTAATACTGTAATGTATATTTGCAACGTTTGCTTTTCATGTACTAGGCACCAGAGGCTTGAAGTGCAGGTGAATGCTTTCAGAGACTACAAACTAGGCAGTCACAGATGTTCTGTGTGTTCTCAATTAGTCTACTTGAAAACTGTGTATTCTTGCTTAATGGCAAACCAGCCTTATCAACAGAACTCATGCTACTTGAACCAAAAAATAAATGGGCACTGACATCTATGAGGAAGATGGCTAGTTAACATTTCTAGCTGCTTGAAGATGAAAGTGAGTTTTAGCCATAGTCCCTTCTTTATGTTTGCAAATAGAAGATTGCAGTTACTGGTGTTTAAGACTGAAGAAGGAGGTAGATCGGGCTAAGAGTGATGAGTTGCCTTCACTAAATTTTTGAAAGGAACTGAAAAAAAAAAAAAAAAAGAAAAAGGAAAGGACAGAGATCAAATTAATGACCTGTGAAAAATCCAGACTAGAATTGTTTGCATCAGAAAGGAAGTAGGTGATTGTGAACTTGCTTGTGCATGTTTTGTGAAGGGAAGGGGAAATTTGTCATCTTGTTTTGAAGAGCCATACATAAATACACATGAAAGGAGCTCACATGGTTTACAGCAGGGGAGACGTAAAATGTTTTAGGATTAAATTGACCTGAGCTAATACATGTCTCACATCCAGCTTCTTTGCAAGAACACATTGTTATACTACTGAAACAAATGTTTTGTGTATAGTACCTGATTCCCATATGCTGTAGCAGAATGCTGAAAACAAACAAGCCAGTAAATCCTGAAATGTAAAACAACATTGAAATTATATTAGATGCAGCATATGCTAGAGAAGTTGAACTGTACTAAACCAGAAGTTTTCACTATCCTAATTTGATACAGATGCTGCAGTATTTGACCTGCTACTATTCATTTATTGATGAAGTAAATCTTTAGCCCTAACCTTTTGCAGTCTCATTCACCCAAGCAAGCTTTGCTGACCCAGGAATGCCTTGCCTGTCGGAGTAATTTTCTAAAAGTAAACACAGTTGCTGAAATATTACTTAAATGTGGACTTTTTTTAATATTTAAGCCACAAACTGAAAATACTGTTTTCTGCTGGGAATCAATAGTTGCTAAGGTCCTAAAGCTATCTTATGAGTACATTTGGTCTGGACTGATCCTTAATGTTATAAGTCAGACCTAGAGCTGTGTATCATGGAGCAAGTCACATCCAACAAATTGTGACAAGCTTTGTTTGACAAGGCAACAGAAAAATAAGAGTGATAAGCAATGATTTTTACTGGTGACCATTTGAGCATTTTATGTTCATAAATTCTGTGTATCAGGATTATTCTTAGGTGGGCAAGACATTTTGACAGCAAGATAAAGTCAGTAGCACAAAGTCTGACTGCTGATCAACAGCATACAGTAAGCATGAGCAGCATTCTAACACAGAAGTAATCAGCTGGGGGAAAGCCTGGACCTGAGCCTGACAGATCTCTAAAGGAATATTTTCATTTTTGGCCTGTTGCACCAGTCCTCTGAGGAAGGAATGGCTTAAATATGCCTAGCACCTGTGAGGGTAAAAGTGGACTACTCCAGTTCAAGCACAAACCTGGCAGAGCAGAGTTTGTGCGCCTCTATTTTCTTTATGTGCTGTGTTACCCATGGCCATGGAAATGAGTGTTTATGTTTCTGCAGTGTTAAGAATCTCTAATTATCCATGGTGAGGGTTGCTTGGTTTTTGGGTCTTGATTGCAACATGTCAATATGGCAGCAATGCCCAAGGCATAGCTTAAGGTTTTAAAGGGAAGAGTGCCACCTACTGTGTTATGATTTTAGGTATTGCAGCTCCTGTGTGTCTTGTGGAGTTCCCAAGCTTCTCATTTGCCTATTTTGTTCTAACCTCTGGAAGATGTGAAAGGATTCAAAATTATATGTGGCATGGGAATGGAGAGAGAGAAATAAAATAGAAAAAAAGTACAAAATCAGGGTGTTCTGGAGGGGCTCTTCGAAGGACAGTCATACA